AGTCGATGACGTAGACTGTGACGTCATCATTAGAAATTTATTAGATCCTATTTTCGGTATACTTTCGGTATTCATGCGCCGGCAGGAAGAAATTCGGACATATTTTCACAACACCTTTCTGTAGCAAGGTTGCCTACGCAGACGTATCCTAGATCGTAGAGTACATGGGCTTTAACCTTTTTATTGTTATTCTTCCTATTGACATTCCGTTCTGAATATCCCTCTCACATGTCCAATATTTGTTGTTGTTGTTGTTGTTGTCCATAAGTGCGTGTATTTAAAGGAGCCATAAATTCACATTTTGTCTCGAAATCTCCAGTTTCTTCCTCCACATCAGTGTGTTTCGTCTCATTGAAGTTATTAGAGATAACATTCTATCTACAGTGGGACCACATTGGAGCCTATTGGGTCAGCTTCAATGCAACTGCGAGAGAGAAGGACGTGGAAAGAGGATACCGTTTTTTAAATGGCTCTTCCAGCCCATTCAGGGCCACGGCCTCTTTTTCAATTCCGTAATCATTTTTCAGATACAGTAGGACTCATTGGATCAGTGCTCAGCCCGTCACGAGACCAGTATCTAAACATAGGACAGTATAGACACTTAATAAACGCATACACACACCAAACATCCATGCATTGAGTTGGATTCGAACCCATGATCCCAGTGTCCGAGCGAGGGAAGACAGTTCATGCCTTAAACCGCGCGGCTACTGCGACCGGCAAGAGGCGACCGTTACATTTATAAATTCAATTATATTATTATAACTCCAAATTTTGAGCCATAATTACAAGCCTGTGATCGCAAGGGCTTGTCAGCTTTTCGTCCTGTTCCACGCGCGAACAAGGATTTAAGCATTTCCATAGAAAAGTCGTCTGTCCGTAGCATCCAGTTGCAATGCAGTGAGACAAAGATGAACCTGCGAGTGCTGAGGATATTGATTCCTCATGTGACGTATTCATTTCCGACATCTTTGCTTAACGAAAATTAACGCTACTTAAATAATATTTATGCCAGAATTTTGTTTCAGGATTGGATATGTCAACACACTAGGCAAATTCTGGCATTATAGGCTTAGAATGTTGTAATTCAACGCATCTATACAGCGGTGGCTTCGAAGTGCTGTGTAATTATTTACTGTGTACTACTTTACGAAGCTATCAGTGTCTGGGCTATACAGCTTAGAACGGCATAACTGACGGAAGATTGACAGATCTGAGTTTTTCACGGCTGTGACTATGAAGAATGCCGTTTTCTTGGATGTGGCGTCTTGTAGATCTTGTGTGAACCGGCGATTCGGAGTAAGGTATCGCCTCCATCTTCAAGGTAGCGAAACCAGACAGTCTGCAGCTGCTCACGCTGGTTTCTCGCTCGCGGATTTTTCTACTTTGAAGATGAAGGCGATACCTTACTCCGAATCGTTGGTTCACACAAGATCTACAAGACTCCACATCCAAGAAGACGGAATTCTTCATGATGAAAGATTATTTGGAATGAACCTGAAAGGAAGAGATCGTTGGAATACTCGAAGTGTTTATTTTTCCTAAATTTGCCTAAAGGGACTGAAGAAAACCATAAAATAACTCCGTCAGGACCATCGTTTCTGACGTCATTTGAAAGCAGTACCTCCCGAATAGAAGTACAGAACTTGAACCTTACACGAACATGTTCAATGTTCAGTAAATATACCAAAATGGCAAAGATAAAGTCTTAAAATTTAGAACACCGATCACCTTATCGCTGATAATGAGTTTATATGTGAAATGTAACACATTTCCATAACCAGAAAATATAACTTCCATATAACTTAATCGTTTAGTTGGAAAAGGGAATATTTCCTTTCTCGGCCATTATAAATGTTCCTCATTTTCGAGCAACCCATCCAACTGAATCCTTTCATTACTCGCTGTAGTCCGATTTTGCTCTTATTCGTGTCCTGATTGTTGCATATCATCTCTGTTGAAATTAAATTAAATGCGAATGATTTCTGGTACACTAAACAGCCTATGCCCGTCACGGTAGCCGAGCGTTCTAAGGCATGTACTGTTTTCGCTAACTTGGAAGCCGGGATCGTGGGTTCGAATCCCACACAAGGAATGGATGTTTGGTATGTGTATGTGTTTATTCTGTGTTTGTGTTGTCCTGTGTTTAGGTAGAGGCCTGCGACGAGCTGACAACTAGTCCAAAGGAGTCCTGCCGAATTTAAAATGATCATGAAACTGAAAATCAGAGGCCAGGGCCCAAAGGGGCTGTAGAGCCAGTGATAAAAAAAAGCAGCCTACAGTGTATGCATGCAATACAGATATTTCTCTTCATTCGGAGTGTCAAGAAATTTTGCGTCCCTTATAGAATGTTCATGTCCGCTTTCTCTTAATGTTATCCTTCCATTTACTCTGGTCCATCATGCGGAAATCTTCCTTCATTTGTCCTGAATAAAAGTTTGCATGAATTTCTTACTTTTCCGTTCATGTTACATGTCCAAGTTATCTCATTATCCATGATCTGACGTTCTCAATAATATCTCGAGGAAATTACGAATTGTGAAGTTCTCTATCAGGCAGTTTTCTCCAGCCCCCTGTTACTACCTCCCCCTGATAACCAAATAATCCCTTCAGCGCCCTGTTCTCATGTACCGTCAGTCTTCTTCCCCTATTGTGAAAGTATACAATTTCTTCAACTGACTTCCAGAGGAGTGTTCATAAATTTGAGCTCAACCATGAAAATGTCTAGGCAGTAACTTATAATAGGCCACGACAGTTTTTTCACATCCCTCTCAGTTCAACATTAATTATTACCACCAGTCCGACATTTATCACCAGTTCAGTTGAGATGACGTCGCTAAATCCCCGGACGGGATTTGAACCGTGCACCTCCCGAGTGTATCTATGACATTACTGACATGCTAACCCGCTCAATGTGCGTCTCCTTTGAGATTCGATTTCAAGCTGTAAATACTGTGATGGGGCAGCTGAAAGCCGGAATAGTGAATTCAGAAAAGACGGCCATTGCTAAATAACGGATTGTTAAAACAAATTCTCGCGGCAACAAATACAAGTAACAGAATATCGGCCGTGTCTGTGCAACGGCCGGTAAACATCTTTCCCCTTAAGCACGTGACAACAATGGGGAGTCTATTGCTATGACGAATGTTACAGCTCGTTGCTACAACAATAGAAGAGGTTTTCTATGTGGTCAGTGCGGGGTCTATATAACGACAGCCTGTGGAGGGCTGTAGGGTTGTGAAACGTCGAGGATCCCACATTTTCTAGACAATCGGCTCACAGATTGCGGTGAGGTTGTCAGCCTTACGCACCGGCCGTTTTTCCCCTAAGAATATTCCTGGTACTCATTTCTGTTAGAGGCTGAGTCAACCCCACGACCACAGTGCGGCTGGAAGGATTAGGTCAATGGAAAAATTCCAATGACCAAATCGGGAATCGAACCCGCGACCTTCCGGGTTGTAGCATAGTGCCTCAACCAACTACGCCACCGCGTGCCCCCAGAGATGGCGCTATAATTAGGTGTAATTACTGGTGGTGTGTAGCCAATCATAGTCGCCGCGCGATCTAAGCCATAAACCGTCTTCGCCCATTCGAACACTGGGGTAATGGGTTCGAATCCATCTCGAGGCATGGAGGTTTGTCTACGTTTATTCTGCGTTTGTGTTGTCCTATCTAGACAGCGGCCTTGAGACGGGCTGATCTCTGTCCAAGGTGTCCTACCGATAGTCTGTAATACAAATGAAACAGATGTGAAACGAAGCGTTTCACGCATGCCCTATGCTCCAGAAGGAGCAACAGGAATATGAGTGAATGAATAAATAAATATATAAGGAATAAATAAACCCGTTCTTCCAATCCAGAATCCGCGTTATTAGCCACTAATACACGTGACAATACTGTATATGGGGGGAAGTTAGGGATTCATATTTGAAGGGCTGTCTCCGTGTCATACTTTAATCATGTAGACGTTTATTAATTTAATGCACAGAATGGTGTGTTCTGGACTGAGACACCGTGTGCACAATGTTTATTTAACGATGCTGTCACTAATTCATACTTTAAACTTCGAATGATATGATGAGACTGTATAATGAATTGGAAGTGAAGAGCGTGGAGGGTAGACGCTGTAGTCTGACTTAAGATACTGTCCCGGAATCGGGAAAACCTCCGCTTGTCGCCTCCTTCTGTTGTTTTCTTTTTGCTTAGTTTTTATTCAACCTTAAAGATGGAGGCGATATGTTCCTCCGAAACGTCCGGATTTGTTCGAATTACTTGTCGTTACAACCTAGTGACGACCAAATTCTTCTCGGTCACGACGCTCGGCGGGTCAACATCTTCCGAGTACAAGTCAGAACAATCACATGTGAGAACACCTCAAAACTTAACAACTTAACGTCGACTAGTCTGCGAGGGTTTTCATTAAGTTGGTGCCAAATTTATACACAATGACTTGACGTCTCGTAGTCTCAGATCTGTCTTTGAAGCCTAAGTTACAACATAACCTACAAAATCTATGATAATTACTATCTTTCGGAAAGTGATATAATTTCGTTGACAGGTACCAAAGTTTTGGAATAGCCTGCTGCTTTCATTTTCCACGGTAGAAGACTACCCAAAAGGTTCTCAGAGTAAATGACTACCCTGAAAATGAGGCATCAGATTCCTCCGAAATGTTGGTACCTATCTGCTACACTGCATGGCGGCACATCTCAGAGCACAATAATTTTCACTGTCACCGCTTTGAGAACCTCAAATTTTAAGACGAAATTTATGTTTCATATTCGAAAGATACCGGGTTCGAATCCATTTCGATGCCGACTTTCGTGGCCGATATTTATTGTAGTTTCCTTCAGCACTTCTAAAAACGACTGGAATAATGCAGTAAGGCAGTCGGCTGCTACCCCGTCCCTATTTGGCACTAGAAACAGCTACGTCTTTCATAGACTTCAGCAGTTGGTGCATGATAGTTACATAACCTAGTTAAAGAACAGTGTACTTACGCCAGAGGCCTCATTGGGATGGCCAAAGGCTCAGGCGACATCTCTCTGACATTGGTTTCTTCGCAGACCGCTCTTCCCTTGTCACACCTGCTCGCACTGCCAACTGCCCACTCTCCAGAATGTTCCCAGGCTCCACTTCGCGCGCGCTCTGCTGGGCGACTGCAGCACACGTATCGATTGGCAAGGCTCCTGTGGGCGGGGGCGCGTCCAAAACCGTGAACTTGCAGCGAGACATACGATTTATGTCTAAATCTTGGATTTAAATGGGGCCAAATCATAAGCGAGGCAACAGAATTAATTAAGGGTACGGTTTTCTAAGTTGTAATTCCTTGTAGTTTGGAGAGACATATCGTTTCCATCCTTAGGGTAGAAGAGTAAGCCCAGCAAGAAACGAGAAGAAGCAGGCAGCAAGCTGAGTTATTATAACATAAAATACTCCTGTAATAATCATAATGAATATTAATGCATGATCATGGAGTAAAATCAGTCATACTCGTACAGGCCTAACAGACGAGGCTTTGTCTTGTGTATTTGTGTTTGCTATTGTTATCATTTCTAAAAAGAGGCTGTTCAGCTTTATGTGTGCAACAAAAATCCGCAGCACTTCTTTGCCAAAATAAATATGAATTTCAGTCTGTGGTAAGAAGGTATAGCTGTCCCTGTGCTCAACTAATTAAGCACTACGCCATGAAGGCGAATGGGGAAGTGGATTTATAGATCCATTTTCTTCGCCTCGGCACTACCTGGAGGTGAGTGGTCAGCTTCACGCCCCGGCCGCTTTACCCAAGGGGAAAGAGCCCCCGGTACCCATTGTATAGGAGGTTGGGTGGACCTCAGAGCCGGTCTGGACGACGTGAAGAAGATAATTTTTTTTACCCTTCCGGGACTCGAACTCCGACCCCTCGGCCGTCCAGCCCATAGCTAGTAACTATACCGACTGCGCTATCCCGGCTCCCTCAGTTTGTGGTAATAGTTGGATATTCTGAGTGTCCTATGTCCCATTTAAGTTAGAGTTTGTAATAATTCAATTGAATTTCTTGTAAAAAATGTAGTTGTCCTTGTGTTTGACCAAATAAGTGCCACGTCATGAAGACTTTGTGGGAGTGGAGGTATAGCTCCACCATTCTTGACCTCGGCACTGGATGGAGGTGAGTGGTCACCTTCATGACCCGGCCGCTTTGATACGAGGTAAGCCCCCGGTACCCATTGGATGGGAAGATGGATGGGCCTCATAACCAGTCTTGACTTCATGGAGTTCAGGAATATATCTTGTCCCTAGCGGGAATCGAACCCCGGCCATCCAGCCCGTAGCTATCCCGACTACGCATCCCAGCTCTACGAATTTCTTGTTTGTCCGTTATTTCTTAACATTTCTAATACAACAGAGATGAATATCAGTAGTCTCAAGCTGAGCTCGACTTGCCACCTTCTTCTGCTGGTTTGTGCTTGACGAACTCTTCGGCCATGAAGACGTTCCTCCGAAACATCGTGCTCTCTCCGAACTATACGCTGTTGCAACCCAGATAACCGTACTCTTCGTAGTCACTGACTTGGAAACCTCAGATCCGAAACAGCATATACATTGGTTGATAACATATTAGAGGAAGGGGAAATAACCCTCGATTCCGACTCCCCTGTTCACATTTACTCAGCCACATTCTGTATCACAGGATACGTTCAGACAGCGCGAGGTCTGGCGTCCTCACGGCGGTCACTGAGCTGGTTACTGCCTTTTGCGGTGTGGTGTACGTATTTGTATTTATACTCTCATTAATGATGACGTCAGTAACGCAAGCTATGTAGCGTCAAATAACTGTGTAGATAAAGTAAAGATGGCCCTGTGCTTAACTAATTAAGCACTACGTTATAAAACGTAAGGAGGAATGGATGTATAAAACCATATTTTCTTGACCACGGCACTAGTTGGAGGTCAGTGGTCAGCTTCACTCCCCGGCCACTTTCCCCCCCCCCTTGGCACTACAGCCCCAGTGGGCCTAGGTCTACCTCCATGAACTTCTCCGTTCACTTGGGTTTTTCTAAATCTTACACATTCGGTAGGACTCTTTGGGCGGGTGATCAGCTCGTCACAAGGCCTCTACCTGTACACAAACACAGAAAAACGCACACACACAAACTAAACATCCATGCCCTGAGTGTGATTCGAACCCACGATCCCGGTTTCCAAGCGAGCGAAGACAGTACATGCCTTAGACTGCTCGGCTACCGTGACCGGCCCCTGGCCACTTTACACCCGGGGAAAACTCCCGGTACCCATTGGATAAGAAGCTGGGTGGGCCCAAGAACCGGCCTGGACGTCATGGAGGAGAGAAAATTCTTTTGCCTACTGGGATTCGAACTCAAGACTCCTCAGTCGTCCAGCCCGTAACTAGTTGCTATACCGATTTCACTCTCCCGTATCCCGAATAACTTTATGACAGCGAATAATTCATTAGGAAAGGTATAGGAGGAGGCTGTCGTAGCCTAATTTGGTGGAGTTACTGAGGAAAAAACACCTTCGGTCAGGGTAGTCGGTATCATGACCGAGATTAGAACCGAGCACCTCCCTCTCGAACACGACTCAGCCGCAATGTCGTTTCATGTAGTCTGGCAAAACTTTCGGAGGAACATTCTGCTTCTATCTTCAAAGTAGACTTATGTAATTATGTTTCAAGTGACAGAGAAGCCACTCCTGATTTTTAAATTTTTATTTCTCATAATATAAGTTACATATTTTGAGGATATTATCCCAGAATTTACGAAAATTTGTTTGAAGCACCTGAGGAAAACTCTCTTCATAAAGACATTCGATTCCGATGCCTCCCGTATATTAAGCAGGCCCGTCTCTGCGTCGAGGCGTTTGGCAACACGTAGGCCTGCCTGGTAAGTAGAATCCGTCTAAAACTTTTCTGGTGGTACCTCATACCTTGAGGGGGCAGCCTCTCGGAAGTGGAGTCCTGTGTGTTTAATGGGATATTTTGTACGGCGATTCTGGCTACCACCTTATGTTGCAAACTGAATCTAATAACTTCATAATGATGATGTAACGAGCTACGTCACAAATCACATCGTGACGCAACATCATAGATGTTTTAGAAAGAGTATAGTCGTCATGGTTGCAAGGTCAAGATACGATTTCTGTTAAAGGCTTCTGAAGAGAACCGATCTGACAGAATTAAGGCCTGTATCTTTAACGGTCATATCAAAGTTCTTCATTCATTCTTTGCAGATGTTTTATAAAATATTTATAATCTGAATAGGGTACTAAAATTGTATTTCAATATTGTTTTCAGTAGTAATGTATCTGCTCTTCTTATCTCATAAAGAAATGTGAGCTCATGGTATCGCCTCCGTGTTTCTGTGTTTCTAAATTGTTTTTGAACGGACTGATGTTTGTTAAACTTGGCATGATCATACCTCTATGGGGCTCACTGTTATACTTGTTAATTTTCTATTATCAATAATATAAATATGGTGCACTTGTAATTACTGTAATGATACACTGTCAAAAATATATAACTTTAATTGAAGTCATATTTTTATGGCTCATGGCTACTGCACGAAATCTAAGTTTAGTTTTTTTATGGTTGCGATGGGCCAATGGGGCTAGGCATATAACATAATGTTTAGAGTTGGGTCATTAATATACATATTTTATTAAACATTTCTTTATATGTTACAAGTTACAAATATTTTGACGTTGCGAAGAGATTATATCTGCCAAATTTAAATAAATTGTAATTTGTACCAGTGTAAATTAATTTATACACAGAAATTAATATATGAATTATAAAATTATTAGAATTTTTAAAGCCTGAAATCCAACTAAACAATATTTAAGAATTCTATTTTTAATTCACAGAAAACACACCATGGCTCTACTACAAGTAGCAGTCAGCTAATGCTGTGTAGGAATCGCTATTTATTCTGAGAGTCATGCGAAACATGTAAATACAGTGTGAGCAAAATGCACAGTTTTGGCCCATAGAAAAGCGTGGTTCATAAGTACAGTAACCAGTTCGCTTTAAGTAGCCCAATTGAATAGGTCTTTCTTTCCATACACACATTGGCGGACACGGATCCTCTTGCCGAAATTCTGAGCTAGAAAAGGAAAAGAGAATACTCGAGACCTCGAGACGCTGGGCAGAGTCCAAAATAAATGTTTAATGCAATACACTATGGTCAGAAACATTTAGACTCAGCAGAAAGGGGCACGGTATGCCTCTCCCTTCACTGCAATATGCCCCTCTACCAATTTTACTGATCCGGCCGGTGGATGGCAGAGCTGACACAGGGGTTACGTCCGACCTGAAGGCTCAGTGGCTGTCTGGATGATTAATATCTTTCGTCGGCCTGATCGCCAGCACAATGGGGTAGAATCCTTCCAGGGGCACACATGTTTATGTAGCTTCTGTTGTTTTCGTTTCCATTAATAGTGTATATGTTGAGCTTCTGGACCTGCCCAAAGGGTTGCGCATAAAGAGATACGGAGTATTGCAATAGGAGGCGAGCAGTGGTTGTAGTTGCACTGTGGAAGGGTAGGGGATGACAAGCTGTAAAAACGGCCTGTAATAGCCCACACATACCCTACGGCCCTTATCTCAGTGGACTTGACTACATCCACTGCGCAGTGTGTTGAGAAAGGCCAGTTCTAAAAGTACAGACTGTATGCGTAGTCAAACATTTCTATCGGGGTGAAGGGGTAGAGGTCGTTGATTTCAGTGCATGATATGCATAGACGGACTTTATAGTCAAAAGTAACAAATATTACATATTTATAATTTTGTGATTAAGTTTAAGTTTTTGTAAATATTTACAATTAGCATACGATAAGGCGATAAGCAATACTCTTCATTATGCACCTGAACACAGACATACACATGAGACGTGACTCTCGAGGCGATCAATATTAAGATTACTGTATGTGACCGCCTCTGTGGTCTAGTGGTCAGAGTTCCTGGCTACAGATCCAGAGGTCCGGGTTCGTTTCCCGACGCTACCAGATTTTCTGAGAAGTAGTGAATCTGGAACGGGGTACACTTAGCCTCGTGAGGATAATTGACAAGCTATATCAAGGAAGTAGCGGCTCCGGTCTAGAAAACAGAAATTAACGGCCG